ACATTATTTCAGAGAGAGAGAGAGAGAGCATCATTGCATAATTTTCTCAACTGTGAAAAGGCTTTGTTCAAGTATATTTCTCATATTTAGCTTTTCTACTCAAATTCAGGAGATGTTAATTTGAAAAAGGTCTCAAAAAGAGGTTTGAGAATGATTAACATTTTGAATAATTGACCAATTTGACTAATTAAACCTATGAGTAAATCCTAAAGCTCTTGGTTTATTTATTCAAGAGATGACAATTTTGAGGTAGCATTTAATAAGTCCTTCAGAACCTGGAAATACATTCTTTATTTGATGAGCACTTAGAGTCTCTGCTGAAAACAAGAGAAAGTTGAGCAAAATGTAACAGAAACTAGGGGATCTCAGAGATGCAAGCTGCTTCATAGGCCATGTGTGTGTATGTGCATGCCAGTGTGTATGCATAGTATTTCCAATTATATATGAAGAGGTCAAAAATATGCTAAAGCAGAGCCGTTCTGATTTTAGAGTTCTGACCATGTAACCCCTGTCCTTCCCCTTCCAATCTCTGTCCTAAGAGAGCTTATAGGACTTTCTAGAATACACCTGACAGTGGTGTCATTTGCCCCAACCTTTTCTCTTTACAAAGAGGAAACTGATACCTGAATAGACTGAGTGCTAATGCCATGGGAATACATGCTAATTAAGGGTGGAATAGAACTAGATTACAACCTCCTAGCTCTAATGACTGTTCTTGAAGCCTTATTGCTTTTTCTTGTTTGAGAACAGAGAATGGGAGAATAGGTCCAAAACTGTGTTGGGAACCTTAGAGAAGGTGAATGCATCATAGGAGGCAATTTTTTTGCAATTGTACTTGTATTTCATAGTTAATGTAAAATTCCTTAAAATCCCTTCCATGTATGGTAAAAGGGGCAGGGTGGGGATGGGGAAGAAGGAGACACATAAATAAATATGGATTATCTTATTTATCAGCTGTCTTCTTCATTCTATTCAGTATAGACACAGCTTTGGTCATAGTTTGGTAACTTTTCACATAGCTGATTTTTAATATGTATTTTATTTTTTTTAATTTTTTTTTTAAACGTTTATTTATTTTTGGGACAGAGAGAG